AATTAACAAATAAGAAGAATAAATGGAACAATCTTTTTTTAATTGATAATATTTATATAAATTAACTCATAAATATCAAGCAATACTTTTCCATGTCGTAAATTAAAATTCTTACAATAAATTTACAGTGGTGCCTCGTATAACGTACGCCTTGAATAACGGACGCTGCAAACAACAGACTTTCTGTTTGGCCGTTACGTGACTTGAGCAACAGACTGGCTGCGAACAAGTGCAAATGATGTTTCCACTCTTTTGCCATTGCCAATGACAATCTGCTATTTTTATAATATAGTGTATTAGTATTATTAGAATATATTATTAGTATATCTGAAGTACAGAGCTCCCATTGGGATTCAGCTTGCTCCCTTGTTTATTACATACAGCACATCACCTCAGTGCAGGGTATTTACATTTATTCAAGTGTTGTGTGCCAATCATGGAAAAAACAGAAAGGTGATTTCAATTGAAACAAAACAAGAAATCATCAGAAGGAGTGAAAGTTGACAAAACTTCGTTGTCAAATGGGGAGAGGTTCAGGACTTTACCAACACTCATTATCCAAACACAGTTGAGGCCAACAGGATCAATGATCTCTATAATGACACTCTTGCCCATCATTTCTGACAGGTGTTGAAGAAGAGAGAGAAACAGACCACCTTGACCATGTTTTTCAAGAAGCCAGCTGCCAAAAGACAAAGGATGGAACAAGAGGAGTTGACCCTGCAAGCTCCGGTAGCCTCTCCTGAAACTGACTCCGATTAAAACACAATAAAAAGAGACCTGCTGCAATGTGTAAAAAGTCTGTATCTGTATGAATGAGTGAATAAAGTGTTCCTCCAACTCCTCCTCTCAACATCTGACTACGCAGCATAATTGGTGACTGCTCTATTTTCATTTTTTTATGGTACATTTTATGCTGCAGAACGAATTATATGTTTTAACATGTATTTCTATGGAAAAATGCATTTCGTATAATGGACTTTTCACTTAACAGACGTGCACCTGGAACAGATTAAGTATGTTATACGANTTTGAAGAAGTGGGAAGAATCTTCATTAGTTTGAAATTCAAGAGATGAAAAAATAATTACGACTGAATTATCGAGTTTCAAATGATTCGAAATTTACATATTCTGTACAGTATGCCAAATTCCATGTAATTAATGTAAGTTATTAAGGAAATGGAATATGACTACATATATAGAAAATTATTTTTGTTAATTAATAATTAATAATAATATGAATAAACTGTAGGTAAACAGCATGTGTCCTGTGAGAACCTCACAGTTTTCCAGATAAGTTTTATAAAAAGTAAAGCAGAATTCCTCAAAATGTAGCCAAAATTATGTTTAAAGTGGTCCAAAAAGTAGTAAGTTGCCCAAAATACAGTAGCCTAAAGCCCTGCAAATATCACAATCTGCTACCTGTAGCCCAATCTTGCCATCCCAAAACCTAGGCATATTTTATGAGATAAGATAAAAAAATATTTTTATTTAATTATTCAGTTTGAACTTTATATCAATTTTAAAGGAGTACATTTCTTTATTGTATTAGATGGAGTATGTTACTGTTATGTCATCCAAAAATAGTTCCACTTCAAGTTGTTCTCTAATCCAGTGGTTGCCAACTGGTGGTCTATGGACCACTAATGGCCTGCAAGTAAATTTTGATGGTTTGTGGAGAAATTTAGACATTGATCAACTCAAGATTACAGAAAGTACAGTATAGTGAAAGAAATGCAAAATGCTTGGTTGCTTTTTCTCACTCATTGGTGGTTTTTTATTCATAATAATTATCATCTGCACATTGGATTTAACTAAATATCATGTACCTCAGAAAAAACCTTTAACCGATGTGAAATAAACCCACTGTTGAAATCAATACATAATAGAATCGCATGGCAGAAGGGTATCTCCCTAACCTTCAGAAGATGCCCAACCATATTTGGTATTCTACGTAATGGAAAAGACAAATCTAAGGAAGAAAGAATGCCGGGGGTATATAAAGTGCCACTTAGGGACCATAGTTTTGGGAAGGACTTAATTTACATAGGCTCAACAAAACGAGCTGTTGGGATCAGATTGAAAGAACACATGCGTGACATCCAGCAAAATAAATGTACCACTTCCTTATCACCATATCTATACTAGATAACTTAGGATGAGCTATAATTTGTTCTTATTCTAATAGTTTTTATTGCATTATATTATTGAGTATATTAATTAAATTAATTAACTAGTGTTATCTTGATATTGCTAAAAGCTGCAAAAATGTTATTTGTTTGCATATTTGGCATGATCTCCATAATATGAAAAACTGTACTCAAATATATCAGAAAGTTGGAATGAACTATATAATGTATGTAAAGAATTGAAAATTAAATTTAATAATAAATATCAAGTTAGATTATAAATTTAGTAATTTTATTTGATTTCTCTTTTTATTGTATAATCATTGATAATTTTCAATAACTCATATCTATACTTAACAACATGCTAATTTTTTAACATTAAATATTAATTAAGTCATTGATTTAAACCCTGTTTAAATTTATATCAATAAAAATGAATATGAATACATAATTTTTACATGTTTGAAAATATATATAGTAAATAGGATACTCATTTCATTGTTAATTTTTATCATTCTTTTTTAGAAGAATTTTATGTTATTTTCACTAAATATTATGCATCGTAGCATTTATTTTTAAGAAGAAATGAACTCAACATTTTTTTTATTCAACTTTGTGAAATTTTTAGATGAACTATATATGAACAAACAGAAATTATCTCAGAATACTTGAATTTTGTTCCAATAGCTTTAAACTCAACTAATATTTGAATTAATGTTCTATATTCTTTTGAATTATAACCCGATGATGNAATAAAAAGTATAAAACATGTCTCTTATATTCGTCTGTTACTTCCATTTTAACAAAAATAAACAACTGAAATGTTCCCAATTCTGAACAGTATTATATGAATGAGATCCAATTTAACACTTCAGTGTAAAAAGTATCACATTAGACTTGTGGACTGACCTGATATACCTGCTACCTCCATTTCCTTATATTAAATAGAATTTAATTTTGCTTTTTCTAAGTATATATTAAGTTGATGAGAATTAATTATGTTTTTTAATTAAATCATTGTAAAATTAGTGAGTGATGGCTCTCAAAAAATGGTTTTTATACTGCATATTTCTTGCATATATTTGTAATGTTAAGTTGTAAAATTATATTGTAATAAAAATATGTTATATACGTTTCTATAATCTACTTATGATATTGATCAAAATGAAGAAATTTTTATTTTATATTTGAATTTTCAGGATTTTATTTCTGAAATTTTAATTAAACATCAATTTATTTCTTTGCTAATAAGAATTTAATTTTCTAATGTACAGTTGAAAATAATAATTGTCATTTGATTTCATAGAACTGTTTTCAGTATATTTTACTTATATAATAGTTTTATTGTGTGTGTGTATGTATGTGGCAAAGATCTAATTATATTTATATGATTTCCACAATTCTAATTTATTTATTTGAAAATAACAGTAAACAATATTTTTATTTTATCTTACAGACATGGACTTTTTCTGCAGCATACTTTATCAGATAGTCACATGCAAGCCTCACTTGTTCATCGAGATACTTGTGTTGAACTTCATGGTGATTATGATGATATTAGACCTTTAGCAGATAGACATCCTACTCCTCATATGGCTAGACGTATTCACAGAATGTCTGGTAATTAATCTTTTTTTTATTTTCAGTAAATCATTTAAATTTATGTACCATTATTGTTTAAATTTCAATAATTTTAGTAATTGTTTTTACAATATGGCCTCATTTTAATTGATCATTTCTATAATTTTTTTTTAATGATTTAAAGATTTAAAGTAATGATTAATGAGTAATGACAATTGATGTTAATTTGTTTCTTTTTGTATTTTTGTTCATTATAAATGTTGTTAGACAAAGTAGTGATTTCTTATAACAAGGTTTTTTTTCAACTAGATGTATACACTGTCAGACTGATTTTAATATTGTCTGACAGTGTATACATCTATTCTCATCTAGTATTGTATCTAATTTGGCATGAAGATCAAAATACTGTTTGTCTAAGTTTTTTCTTTAATACACTAAACTTATAATTTGATTTGGTTTTTATAAAGTTCCAATATTAGCTAATTTTTAAGAAATAATTTATCAATTTTATTATAGCAAGTTATTTATTATATCAGTTAAATGTACCAAATTGAAATTGTGTGTCAAAATTAATCAAAATGTAATAATTTTTATAATTAGACTGTTTTAAATTATTTAATGATTAGAGAATTTGAATCACAGATGGATGTGNTTCATCGAGATACTTGTGTTGAACTTCATGGTGATTATGATGATATTAGACCTTTAGCAGATAGACATCCTACTCCTCATATGGCTAGACGTATTCACAGAATGTCTGGTAATTAATCTTTTTTTTATTTTCAGTAAATCATTTAAATTTATGTACTGTACATTTGCATTTAATGATTTTTGCTTTTGTTTATATATTTTTCAACAAAGCATAAATATTTATACAGAATCAATGAGTTTTTCTAATCTTATAATTAAATTAGAATGAAATTATTACTAGAAATAGTTTTTAAACTGTATTTAAATCATTAAATCACATTATTATATATGAATACATTTTCTAATCATATTCTTAGATTTTGTAAAAAATTTTTTATGTTTATGTTTTCATTGGCTGTTAAATGTTATTACTTAAAATATATTTATATAATCAAAACTCCAAATTATAAAATGAAATTATTTTGTAGTTAAAAAAATAGAAATTATCAAACTGTAATGTAATGTTTTAAAAAAAATATTTCAAGACATTTTAAAAATTAACTTAACTAATCATAATTCATAAATATGTTAAGGCTAGCCAATATACATATAAATAAGTATTATGTCTAACTATGGAAATTAAGTTGAAAAAGTAATTTCACTATTCGCCTACTATGAGAATAAACTCAAGGTTAGTATAAGAACAGTCTGTTTTAAATAGACTGTTCTGGTGATGACCTTGAAATCAAATAGAAAAAGGGTAAATAGGGATATAAAATATCTGTTAAAGGCTGTAATCAGAATGAAAATAATCCATTCTGTAACTTAGTAATTTTAAAATTAAATTTTAGTCCAGTTAACTGTTTAAAAAGTAATTATTATAGTTAATTATTTTTCAAAAATATAAAATTGAAAATGAATACATTTGTTAATATTTTGCAAAGCCTTTTAAAATTTAAAGGTTGATAAAGATTTTTAAATCAATTAATAATAATAATTTTATATAAAATTAAAACAATAAAAATGTTTGTTTTATAATTTACATTTATTTATGAAACTATGAAATAAATATTTACTTTTTTTATTTTTCATGAAAAGAATATTACATAAATTGATTTATTTTTGTATTTGTAATTGCTATATTGAGTTGTAATTTTATACATAGTTATAATTAAAACTGATCCTCTCCAAATTTTGTTTTCCACGTAAACAATATTACATTGACATTTCCATGATTCTGATGTTTTAGTTTAATTAATCAAATCTCGTATTAAAAATTACAACGAAAAGTTTTATATTAAGTTTATATACTTAAATATAATGATTTTAAGACCATGTATGTTTTAATAGCATTAAATAACTATCTCAACACAGTATAGTTATTCATTTTAAAAATGTTATCATTTCTATATGTTTCACTAATGTACAAAACAAAAACAAAATTAATAGGCCTAAATATATGAATATGGAAAAATATAATAACTGATGAACTAATATAAATAAAATGATTAGTTGAATTTAAAAACATGATTAGAAAATGTATTCATGTTTATCATATGATTCAATTTTTTAATTATAGTGAAAAAATAATTCCTAATCTACAATGAAAATTTACTCTCTATTCTCTTCTCTAGTTATTCTAATAATAATAGAAAAATTAAAACTTAGAAGAATTTTGATTTTAAAAGTTTTTATTTCATACATACAATATTTACTTATTTTGCTAATGAGCCATCTAGTACTTACATGTACAGTTTAAGGGGTAGAGGTTTGCCAAAAATAGGTCACAGTGCACAACATGGAGAAGAGATAGATTAAAAAAAAAAAAAGGGCTCAAAAACTATACATTTAATTAATGAATGGTCCCTAAAACAAAAGAACAAGTTCTGTAAATTTGTGCAAATAATTCATGGATCTGTGTTTAAAAGTCAGTTTCAAAGTGGGTGAGAATTACAAAGCATGTCATTAAAAAATATGAAAAATCTTTTAACACTGTAGATTGTCTGCCATCATGATTTTTCTCACTTCTAGTTCTCTCCTGTTTATTTTTTGTTTATCAATCCATGGTTTAATTGATTCTATTAAATACTCCTATTTAAACTTTACATTGATAGCTGATAAATTTCTGGTAATTCTCTTCTCTCTGTAGGAAAACCATTGTATATGTGTGTCAACAGGTTATCACACACACATACACACATACATATCTATGTACATCTATGCTAAAAGGTAATTGTAATTAAAATAACCTATTAAATGTTATCTAGAGAGAGATTTAGCAGTCCAAATGAAACCAAACTTGGTATCAGGACATGCAGAAGGTATTTCTATAGAAAATAAAATTAGTACCAAAACTTATAACTAGGATACTTTTGGCACAAGCAACAATCATTTTATTTGTACAAGACACTCATGTTATATAGAGACATTAGTATTGCAGGGGACATATTACTCAATGTGATCTTCATTCTGAAGGTGTAAAACCTAAAAGTGATCAACAATGGTAATTTTTAAGTGATTCTCTGTAATGCTTCTCACATGTGATGTGATATTATCTTTCAAGGCTGCCAAATTTGCAACAGTCCTTGATGAATCATACTTTTTAAATTTCTTCACAATCAAAAATTACATGAATTAACATCTGGAGAACAAAACGGTCAGGTAATAGGAAACACATGAATAATCACACTATTATTGGTGAAATTTGTTGTTGTGACAGCATCTGATAGGTGGAGGTGCTCCATCTTGCATGAAAGTGGCTGACTCAAAACATTGTCATTGTTGCAGTTAGTGGGATACAAGTGCTGAGCATTTCTTGGTATCTCTGAGCTGTCACAGAGCCTGTCATATACCTTTGTCACCAGCTTCTTCAAAGAAGAATGGTCAAAGGATAAATGAGTCCATACCAGACTGTAACTTTAGATGAGTGCAGTGGAATCTTCTGGAAAATGAGAATTTTCAGTGGCTTATGGATGTTCATTGTTCCACCTAGATGAAAATACAGTATGTCTTGTTGTCCACAAGATCTTTCATGACAATTCTGGCAAGGAAAATTCAATACAAAGGTTGGTTACATTTTCCTGTTAGCAGCAACTGCTGGTTGTGGCCAATCTTGTACAGAAAACAATGTACCAACTTTCTCAGTATTTTCTACATTGTGTCATATGATATGTTCAACTGCTATGATACTGCATGTACAGTACACTACTGGAATCTGCAATATTATTCATTGACTATTCAACAACAGTAGTGGCAACATTTTCAATGACTTATGATGTAATAGGTTTAATAATGTTGAACTCCCAGATGTCCAGTTTCTTCAAATCAAGTGATCACTCTCCTTAGTTGTTATGGAGCCAATGGTCTTCAGTATAAATTTTTACACCTGCAAAATTTCCAAAGTACAATTGCAGCAAAATGAAGAAAAAATGGTTAGAGATTAGATTTGGATAGATAAATATTTTCATGGACATCAGATCAATTTATAATGCATTAAATTATTCATGCTACTGTATATTAGGAATTATTAACTATTATTAAGAAATCATACCTAATTATAAAAACTAAAAACTTACTTTTCAGAACTACACATTTTCCAAATACAAAACAGCTAATCCTCATTCTCTAGCAAACAACATGAAGAAGAAACTTAAATTATTTGCACCTATGTGGATTAGCTAATACAGTTGGTTTTGAGCAAGTTGAAACAAAATAGAAGGATTACAAAGAATTTTCTTTTCATTTGAAACTCTAAGATAATTAAACAATTTCTTCATCTACCAGAGGAAATTTTTCATTTTCCAGTCAACCTCTAATTTTTTGCTTTATTTCATTTTTTCAGACACCAACATCACTACCATTAATTCTAACTGCATTTTATCCACACTCATGTTTCGTAATATGATGCAAATTCATTCCCATTAGTAATTATTATTTTCATTAGGAATTTTTCTAAATAAAAAGTTATTGTTGTCATTGTTTATTAAAATGAATACAGTCGATTCCGGTTATTAGTCTGGTTGGTTAGTAGGACATGCCGCATATTAGGACAAAACATTCAAAAATGGAATCAAATCCTATAACTATAAGCCCCACTGTTTTGTAGCCCCGTAAAGCTCCAGTCCTGATGCCGTGCTATTAAGTGGAATCGACTGTATTCTGTATTATTTGTTTTATATTTGGCTTGTTATTTTTGGAAATGTTTGGTCTCCTCCTTTGAGCAATGATCTTTGTTATAGAAATAGATATAATTTATATATTATGTTATAATAATAATAGTAATAATAATTAAATTTTAAATTTATATTACAGTTTTAACTGACATAGATTTAACTGGGGAAACAGATGTTTATGAACCATCAAGACCAGCATTTGGTCCACGTTTGGCACCTCAGTGCAGCTCAGGATCTTACAGTTCCTTGGTTTCTCTTGGAAAGTATTCTGGAAATAGTCATCTTCAAAAACCTTCTCCTCACTCATTACAAGTATCACCAGCACTTACTCAACGATCATTGTATGCACAGCATGTCTTATCATCACCAGAAATTACTCCACTTTTTGAATCAAGAAATTCAAAATCAGCCATGACCACTGCAACTTCAGAATTTTGTTTTGTTCATCCAGATTCACCTATTACATCATCATCTAGCAGCACAACACATTTGAGCATGCCACATTGCAAGCAAGATTACCAGAGATCTCAATCATTCATTACAAAGCCCACATCTCATCCTTCTCTTCATGACATATCCTCTCAAAAAACTGAAACAAGACCTAGCAGCATTTATGGACAACCTTCCTTGACTGTTGACAAAATAGAATTCTATCACAAACCACCAGATGTTGTACCCATTGCAGAAGAAAAACAAAATTCAAAGAGGTCATCTGGAAGATATATCCGCCCATATCTTCATTCAAAATCAGATTCACTCTTTACAGCAGGTAAGTTATCTGCTAGTGCCGAAATTGTACCCAAAGATTCTTTAGCACTGAGATGATTTAAACTGGTTCCCAAAATGGAAATATTTATGGGGCCAGATGTTCTCAGGTGATTTTATGCATAATCACACATTATGTGCCACAATTCTTTCAATTTTTCATTTAAAAGTAAAGCTCATTTTTAATATTATTGTCTACTTAGGAATAATTGATTGGAAAATGATCTATTTTTGTATTCTTTTTTTTTAATTATAAAAAAGAATACAAAAATTCTTTTTTGATAGTAATAATGTAATATATATATATATATAACTAATAGATTAACAGAATAATTTTTGAATAAAAACATATAAGTTGTTGACAGTATGAAAATTAATTTTAAACATTAAACTGTTAGTATAGATATTAATTTCATAAGTCATGAATTTTTAATAAACTATATACTTTATAATTAATTGATCAGTGAAAGCATTCAGCAATTTCATGGATACTTTACAGCACTATATACATATTATTGTTAGTTTGAGAGCTCATTACATAAAATTTGAATTATATATACATAAATAAATTGTGTCAGTCTAGTCCCATTATCATAAATAATGATATACAAGTGCAAATAAAATTATTCATTTAACCTTATATATCAGATTGACTAATGTATAAAATTAAAAAATATATATACCGTATTTACTTGCATATAAGATGAGGTTTTTATTCATTTTTGATTGCTTCAAAAACCTAGGTTGTCCTATACGTGTGAGTGAAGGATTCTTTGCATTTTTGCAATAAGTTTTTGAACCGTGTGTTTGCATTTTTTACCGGATATTTACCCTGTTGTATTTAAAAACAAGTATTTTATCTGGGTCGTTTGAATCATTCTTGTATATTGTCAGGAGTGAGATGAATAGCAATAAGAAAAGCAAAGCTTTTGAATTGAATTCCAATTTGAAATTCCAAAATCACGTGGGAGCCAATATAAGTTTTAATCCCTTCCTGGGTGAAAAGAGTTGATTATTTGGAAATCAGAATTCAGAGAAACTCATAAGTGTAATTGATGGCGAGTGGATTCAACTGTTAAAAATTGGCAAAAAAGGTTTCTGGTTGTCCAGCTGTACATGAACAAATTTTGTTGTCAATTTTACAAAATTTTTCCTTGAAGTTTAAAATGCCAGTAATTTTTGCAGGACAATGTGTACATTTATGTGCATTTGGCATTTTATTTGTGATTAAATGAAATAAAATTAAATTCTATTAATAAATCTAATTTTCTTTATTTTGATCTTTAAAATCACACCTCGTCCTATATTTGAGATCATCTTATAAGCGAGTAAATATGGTAATAGAAGATGGTAATCTTATAATAAGTATACATGTCATTACTATGAGAATTCTAGTTTCATATAATTACTAGTTAAACCATATAAATGAAATTCTAATTGACTTCATTTCTTTTGCAGTCTATTATATCTTGAATTATTTTGAATTATTTTGTCCATATTTCTAAAAATTCTAACCTCAAATCAAATGAATACACTACCAGAAAAATATCACCATCTGAATCACTAAACATATCAAAATTTATATTAATTAATAATAACTTAAAAATATTCTGTTCAGATATAATAAATAAATCTTAATCATATTTACACAAAATTGGTGCATATCTTTGAAATCCATATTATAATTAAAGTTTTAGCAAAGTTTTGATAAAATAATTTTGAATAAAATTAATCAGTGAGCACTATCAATTTTTGATGAGACTATATCTCTTCTCTAAAATCGTGCTGCTGTCAACAGCTGGACATTTTAGAGATATGAAGGAGTACATGTCAGGTGTTGCAATTTGGCGCAGAGTATTTGGTGCCTAAATCATGCACACATAAAAAAAATCAGACTTGTAGGTAGTCAGGGGACTGAGAACTGGGTCAAAATAAAATACAAAATGGCGAGACTGTTTTACAAACAGGTGTGAGTGCGAGATTTGCGCATGCATTGCTCGCACTCTCTGAGACATAGTCTCGTCTCAGATAGCTTTGCCGTTTTACTTGTTATAAAATAATTTTAATATTTTTTAATATATTTTTTTGAAATGCTACAGAAAATAAACTTTTTCATATTTGATAAAATCAGTATTTAAAATTATATTATTTGTAAGCTTAACATGTGAAATACAATGTGATTCCCATAGTTAATAATGGTTAAGATAATTAACATTTATTATCATCTTTTTAAGTCAACATAATTAAAAGTTATGCTGATTTCAAAGTTCTTGTATCAGATTTCCTCAAATTAATTTTGAAATATTAACTCAAGAAATTCTCAAGGATTATTAATTGTGAAAAGACCGGCTAGACCTAAAATTTTAATATTCCAAGCCCTATGAAAAGTAGATATGAAGCTTTTTATAATTTACTATCTCAATATTTTGAATGGTTTTGCTTCCATAGATAAAGTATTCAGCTTGGGTATTGTACCTAAGCTGAATACATTATCTATTAAACATAGAAGAGATCCTTGTTGTTAATAATATTTTACAACTAAATATCTATCTATGTAATTTAAGAAGGTTTAATTTTCATATTAATAGATCTGTTTTTTGGATTATGGTTATTGTTTCAAGCCATCTTAAACATAAGTTAAATCTCAAACATTTAAGTTTTGGATATTTTTATTGTGACTTTGATATAGATTTTTAACATATACTGTACATACATTCTATTCTTATTATTTCCTGATAGATCATTATCATCAATGAACTGAAGTGTCTTAAATGTCAGTCAGCCTAAAATATCTGAGAAAATGTTAGTCTAAATGTTGCAAAATCCTTTATATAGTAAACTTAGATCAGAATACTCTTTAGCACGTAGTGATTTTGATTTTGGATTTCTAATACTCAACCTTTTAATAAACATATCTATAATTTTAATAAAATGCAAAATAAGAAATATGTGTTCAATTTTCAATAATAAATTTTTTGGAAATAATTGAATTTTTCTGTCTGAAAGACTTTAAGTATATCAATCAATATAACATGAATTTTATGCCATTTTTTAATGCCATTTAAAATGTTAATGGATTTATTGCAGCAATAAAAAAATACTATTAATTAATTATTTAGCATATGCAATTAGAGAAGTTTAGAATTTCCTTAAAAGTTTACTAAAAACTTTATTACTATGCTAAATTATTCAATGTTTCCTAAGCAGTTATTAATGAGACTTTTTTTAATGTTGCAACAGTTTATTAATATTTCAAATTGATTATTTATTACTACTTATTTATCCAAAAAAAAATACTCAATATTTGTCATTTTCTTTTTATCTCATATTTTTTAAAACTTGGAAAGAAGAATAAAAGATAAAAATTTGTTTATTTAAAACTAAATAATATATCCAATGATTCATATTAAATATTAAGTAAATTATATTATTAAAAAAATATATTTTTCTCAGTCAAACGCATGCCTAGAAATTTTTATACTTTATAATTCAAAATTATAACACTAGATATTGAATTTTTTGGTGTTAGGCAATAATGTTAAATTGTTCATTAAAAATATTTGCTCATTTTAATAAATAAATTAATATATAAAGTCAGTAATTTAATAAATATATAAAATCAATAATATAAAAATGTATTTTATATATTAATGATTACAGTGGAGATATCATCTTCACTTTAATGGTATCCTTCTGTGAAATTCAAGGAATGCATTCCATTCATAAAAATGAGGACTTAGTATATTAGGTTTTTTGTGATAAAATAGAATGTTATTAAAAAAATGCAAAATTATATGCAACTAACAAATTTCTTTTTTATCAGAATTTGATGTAAAGTCATTGTAAATATTACAATTTATTTAGTTTTATTCTGGTCAAAATCTACTATCATATTTTTCTTCTTATTAATAAATAGTTATTAGAATCTCTATATTCTGTTATGAAAAACTGATTTACTTTATATATATATATATATATATCTAGTCAAATTATTTGGCACTTAAAGAGATATTTGTTTTGTGTCTTACATGTTTGGTGTGATGAAAATTTAGATAATTTTGTTAGGAATATGTGATATTAGAAACTGATTTATGAGTCATAGAAATGTGCACAAAGTAGTCAAAGCTAGTTCAGAAAAAATTGTACAGTAAATAAGAAAAATTAAGTAACATATCTATGTATATATTTATAGTATGAATATATGACCATGTAAATTTTTGAAACAATGAGAATTTATCCATTTTTTCATATGCTCAGTTTAATAAAACTTTATAATGTTTATGCAGGAATGAAAATTTTTTATATGATTGTACCGAGTTATTTTTTTATTAATTCGGGACATCAATTCTATTTATAGATCTGAAATTTTGTAAAATTGATTTTTTAATTGATAAGGATTGTCATTTTATAATCAGTATTGATATCTTATGTTATCATACGAATGTTTTATTGTCTTTCATTAAATTATACAAAATTATTAAAAAAAAAAAAAAAACAGCATTTTTAAAATGTTTGTGTGTCTTTGTTTTTCTTGAAATTAAAAATATAATTGTTTTTATGATTATAAAATTTTTGAAAGAAATGGAAAGTAAGAACAATACTTTTCTTTTTTCTGTATTAGCTGAAAGTACCATTCCAAATTTATTTGCTCTTCAAGTCATTAGTGTAAATTAAATAAAATCATTAAGTTAAAATATTATTTTTAACAAAATAATATCAATAGATAACAACACATTTATTTGTAATTCAAATTCTATAACTGTCAATTAACTAAGAAAATTTGGTATATTTGACATTTAAAGTAACAGGGTTGTTATACTGTTCAAATTGTGACTTCATACAAGATCTATGATGAGTACAAAACTGATTGAAAATAACTTTTTTGGAATAATAGAAATATATAGACAAATATACAAAATACTAGTTAATGTAAGACATAGTTGAATTTTTTTACTATAGGCACAACATAATAATTGGTATGAAAATTAAATTATAATAGTTAATGGCCAGATCATATGAGTTTAGAAATATTTTCTCAGAATATTTAAATGACATAAGTCTTTAATTTTTCTAGAAATTAGAATTTGTTATTTGATTTAAGTACAGATAGAGAAGAGTTTGTTATGAAATACAGCATAGGATGAATTACCTATTACATAATATAATTAGAGAGCTGAATAACTAAAAAAATGATGCTAATCAAAACCATTTACTTTATGTAAGTTTATTGGAAAAAAAGCTAATGGATTTCTTCATAGTCTTTCATCTTATTAGAGTTCACTTTTGTTTATAT